CATGATGGAGACATACAGGGCAGGGATTATTGCAGCCTCAGGAATATGTTCTGGGTTCATAACAGGCCCAGGAAATATTTGTGGAGTATACGAGTTAATCTTGGGCACTCTATGGTTTAGCCTGTGTTCCAAAGAAACAGTGTTGTGGCCATGTTGGTTACAACTAGTAATGCATGGCTGTATTTTTAAGGTAAGAGTGTGTTTATTTTATTTATTTATTTTTTTAATGTGTATTGCCTGCATGTAGGTAAGTGCACCTGTGTCATGCAATGCCCTCGGAGGACAGAAGAGGCAGTTGGATCCCCGGGAACTGGAGTTACAGACAGTTGTTAGCTGCCATGTGGGTGCTGGGATTCGAACCCAGGTCTTCTGCAAAAACAATCAGTGTTCTTAACCGCTGAGCTATCTCTCCAGCCCCCTTTTTTCATTTCTGATCATTTCAAAAATCTTTTATGAGTTAACTATAACATATCTATTTCTATTGTCTTTCCAACAACTTATGAGATAATTGGTAACAACCACTATATGCCTAGTTAACATAGAAAGGATAAGGCAACAGGTAACATTAGTGACTTAAGCTTTCAACCCAGGTATGCTGGCTCACAATCCCACCATAGCATAAAACTTATACTATGAATAGGCAGGAATCTGTGTGTCTAGGTCCAACATTTGCTTATTTTTTTTGTAAGCCACTGATAAGTCTCAGTAAGAAGCACATTCAGCTTTATGAAAGAAATCTAACTGTATGGGAAATAAAAATGTTCGAACAGTTAGGACTGCTCTGTCATCTCATATAAAGCCTAGTGACCATATCCCATAAGCTCACATCATTCTGTCCTAAATCTTCAGAAATTTGAATTGATTCTTCAATCTTTAAAAATTAATTTCATTTTCCAAGGAGAATTCCTATTAAGAAAGAATTCATACTGGCTAACAAAAACAAGCATTGCAGCTTCTTTAGTAGCTATAAGTTTCCACAGAGACTTTCCACTAACAAGTGCCAGAGACTGATTTATAAATAATTTAGATTACAGGAACCAGGTTCCTCAGTTTTGATGACTCTTGAGTGAACTAATAAAACAAGTTCCTAACCTCATAAAGATGAAGACTGGACCTTGGACCCTTAATAACCTCCCTAGTGTACAGTGTACAGAAGGGACCCAGCCCAGGAAAACCTCTTAACTCTTCCCCTCAATGCTCACATTTTTTGGCCATAAGACATGGGGTGCAAACATAAGGGCAAGGTTGTGGGCAGACATTTTATTCTTGTCTTGCTTCTTTGCTGTCTGATATAGGAGATCAAGCAGTAACTTCAGCAGGTTACGATTGGGTGGAGGGAGGATGAGAAAGAGCAACTGCAGAGCTTCGATCTGCCGCTCCTTATCTGGTATACTGGTCTTATTTCCTTTATCATCAAACTGCATCAAATCTTGAAAACAAAAGAAATTATTGGAAAGGAAGGAAAACTATCAGCAAGAAAAATCAATGCTATTACTATTATTCTCCCCTTTCTTCACCACTGAAGAAGGAGAAGGAATAAAAGAACCAAGTGTAAATGAAATTCAAGAATGTTAACACCTTAAGAAGGTCCTAAGTATCAGCACTGTTTTTAAAAGCTAACCTATATATATTTTTAAGGTTTCTTTGCCAATATCTGTTATTGTCAGTGTTTTTGATCCTAGTAGATCTGAAATGGTATTTTATGGTTTTTGACTTACACTGTTTTTCTTTTTAAAAAAATTAGTTTTGATTGTTTTTTTATTTAATGTGTAGGAGTATTTTGCCTGCATGCATGTAAGTGTATCGTGTTGTGTGAATCCCGCAGAGGCCAGAAGAGGGCATTGGAGTCCCTGGTACTGGAGTTATGGATGGTTGTTGGCCACCATATGGGTGCTGAGAATTGAATCTGGATCTTCTAGAGAAGAGCAGTCCATGTTCTTAGCTGCTGAACTCTCTCTCCAGTTCCATATTTTCTTTTTCTTTTCTTTCTTTCTTTTTTTTTGATTTATTTTTATTTTGTGTGTATGGATGTTATGTTTGTATGTATGCAAGTGCCCCAGATAATCGGAATTTTAAAGAATACCAATAACCACTTGAAGTTAATTCATACAGACTAAAAAATGATCACTTAAAACACTAAAAAGCATTTTAAGATATTTAGTTTCAGTAGTAATTTCAGGTTTAGGAATGTCAGGGAATATCTCTAGAAAAGTTCCTTGTAGATATGAAAGTGAAAACAAAAAAATGTCTTCCAGTTATCAGCAAAGCATATCAAAAGCTGTAACTGTAACACCTTCCTATGTTCTTAAGTTACAGTGAGTCACAAGCAGTGAAGTGGAAGATGCCAAACACTGCACCGAAATGAAGAACTCAACAAGGCAAATAAAACAGACACGTTACACATTCACACAGTAATTTCAGTATTTTCTAAACCTTTTTCAAAGATCTAAAGCCTTAATTCTCCAAAATTTTAATTGTGAAATTACATGCATACTAGGAATATCTATTCATTTTTATCATCAAAATTACCAAAGAAAGTGACTTAAAGATCCAGCTGCTGTGGCTCAATGATGGCAGGATGCCCGTTTAGCACATGCAAGGCCTGGGCTCCACCCCAGCCCCAAACCAAACAAAACCAAACTACACATCATACTAGATGCTTTAAAATTCAATTTGTTTTTTTATTTTTATCTATTATTTATTTATTATTGTGTATGCTATTTGAGTGTGGGCACATGCATACCATAGTACACATGTGGAAGTCAGAGGACAACTTTGGTAGAGTCAGTCCTCTCCCTCCACCTTATGTAGGTTCCAGGGATTGAACTCAGGTCATCAGGCTTGCATGGCAAGTGCTTTTCTCACTAAGTCATCTCTCGAGCCCAAAGCTAGCTTTTTAAAAACCATGTGGTAAAAATTATTCAAAAGAAAAAAAACTTAGGGCTAAAGAGATGACTGTGGTTAAGAGCGTGCACTGCTCTTGCAACGGAACCAAGTTTCGTTCCCAGCTCCCATCTCTGGCAGCTCACAACCACCTAGAACTCCAGCTCCAGGGGAATCCAATGTCTCTAGTCTCTGCGGGTACTGACACTCATATGTGCATATCCACACAAAGACTCACACACATACACATAATTAAAAATAAATCTTTTTTAAAAAGAAAAAAAAAACTTTTATGGCTGGGTGTGATGGAGCACGCCTTTAGTCCCAGCACTCAGGAGGCCGAGGCAGGCAGGATTTCTGTGAATTTGAGGCCAACCTGGTCTACATAGTGAGTTCCAGGTCAGCTGGGGCTACAGGGAGACCCTGTCTCAAAAAGAGCCCCCCCCCCCAAAAAAAACCTTTTCTTTTTCTTAAAGAAACAATAAGCCAGACATGGTGCTCTGCACTTGGGAGGCCAAGGCAGGAAAACTTAAGAGTTCCTGGACTAAATAGCGAGACCTTATCTCATAGAGAGAGGAGGGAGAAAGGGAAGAAAAGAGAAATGGAGGGAGGGACAGAGAAGAGAGAGAAAGAAACAAAGAAGAAATGCTCAGGGGTGGAAAACTAGGCCCGAATTTTGATGCTGTGTTTACTTAGAGCCTATGGCAGCATAACAGCTGTGCAATTTAAGAATGAATTCTCTACCACATAGATATGAATGAGGAGACTGTGAGCTAAAATAGAACATTCTCCAACATACACTAAGTGAAAAAAGCAAACCACAGAACAATGTGTGTAATACTCAACCAGGACATGAACAGGAGAAAAGAGTGCATCTAAGTAGTATACAAACCCTCCTGGAAGGCTGTGTTAGAAAGCACAGCACTGGCTGTCTCTGGAAAGAACCATGTACTAGGAACAGGGCAAGGAGAAGCCTATCATTGCATATACATGGAACTTTCTCAATTTTGAACCATGTGAATATACAGTCTACTCAAAAGACAATACTTTTAAAAGAACAGCACTTGGGAGACAGAAGCTGGTGGATCAAAATAATTTCCATCTCTTTCTCACTTTCTATACTTACCAGCAATTTTGAGGTGTGCGTGGAAATGTTTGTGGGTCAGCAGGGGCTCCGGTAACTCTCCAAGAAACATCTTTAGGAGGGTGGCAACATCATTTGAGTGAAACTCTCCTGATTCCAAGTCAATATCAGTTCCATTATTGAGAGCATCCTTCAAAAGCTGTTGTCGGATACTGTTGCCTGGGACTCTAAACAAACCCTCTACTCGCAGGTCTGCTTAGTGTGTACATGCCAAAAGAAAACAAAAGAGAAGTCATGACTAATGTACACAGTATAAACACCTCTTTTCCCTTCATAAACCTTTTAGAACACCCTTTAAAAAGTAGGTGTGCCGCGGGTGTGGTGGTGCATGCCTTTGATCCCAGCACTCAGGAGGCAGAGGCAGGCAGGATCTCTGTAAGTTCAAGGCCAGCCTGGTCTACATAGTGAATTCCAGGCCAGCTGGGGCTACAGGGGTACCCTGTCTCAAAAACAAGACCAAAAGAAAAAAAAAAGTAGGTGTGCCAATTTTCCTAAGGCAGTTTGGAGCATATTTGGGCCCTGAGCACCTAGAGCTCACTCAAACTGCGATGGTCCTGCCAAGTCACTGACCCTCCCCTGAGGTATATATGAAAACCATGACAAGGGTGCACTTGCATACATGCAGGCAATACACTCATAAACATAAAATAAAAATAAAATTTAAAACACTGAAATGGAGGTTTTGGGGAACTGGCCGAGTAGCATGCTTGCCTAGCATGCACAAGGCCCCAGGTTCAATCCCCAACACTAGGGAGGAAAACAGGAGTTCAAGGCCAGCCTCAGGCTACAGAGAATTGGAGATCAGCCTGGGTTCCACAGACCCTGTCTCAAATAGCAAACAAAAAAACTGAAATGGAAATTAGATGAAAAGTGTATGTTAATCATAGAATTCTGAAGATGAGAATACAATATTTCCTTGAATAAATGTCATAATTCTTTAGGGACAAGGAATTCTTCCAAAATTGTCTGAGTTAGGATGTAAATATAATTTCATAGACATTATCTAATTTTTTTATATCTTTGAAAGGATAAAGCAAATCGATGAGTGGTACAAAGTTCAAAAGTAAAGAGACTTTAAAATCTGCCACCTGAAATTATTAATCAGTTTCATTGCTGATAGTTCATTGGTAACTACTAATTGATCAGCCAGCTCTCAATGGAAAACTGACAATTCATTAAACAAAGAACACTGAAGCATCAAGGAGTCTTACTTTTGTGCAGATATTCGATCAGTTGATATATTTGGGCAATGCCTTCCTCCGTCAGTGGGGATCCAAATACTACTCCTTTTTCTGAAAAAACATGGTAGGACTGGGCTAGATTTCACACAATAGTATAAAACCATCATTGTAAAAGACTTTTTTTCTACATTTATTTATTTGTGTGTGTTGAGAAGGGTGGGCAGAGCACACTTGTGGAGGTCAAAGGGCTTGTGGAGGTTGGTTTTCTCCTTCCACCATGTGGGTCCTAGGGATCAAACTCAGGCCATCAGGCTTTGGCAGCAGTGTCTTTACCCAGTGAGCCAACTGCCTAGCCCCATAATCACCATTTTAAAATCACTCAAAGCTGGGCAATGTGACACATGCCTTTAATACCCATACTCTGGAAGCCAACGCAGATGGATCTCTATGGGATCAAGGCCAGCCTGGTCGCCATAGCAAGTTCCAGGCCAGCTGGGGTTACAGGGAGACCCTGTCTCAAAAAGAAAAATACATTGCATACATGTCCAAAATTCTCAAATAAAATGAGTATACATATACATATATGCACACAAAGTAGAGCTATAACATTTCTAGGAAGGCTTTTTGGGGATGATTATAGGAACCTGATTTATCAAAGCATTCATTTGTATGAAAATATTTGAGAAGTACTGCAATTAAAAAAATGTTAAGGCCAGGCGTGGTGGTGCACGCCTTTAATCCCAGCACTTGGGAGGCAGAGGCAGGTGGATCTCTGTGAGTTCAAGGCCAGCCTGGTCTACATATTGAGTTCCAGGACAGCTGGAGCTATAGGGAGACCCTGTCTCAAAAAGACACCCCCCCGCCCCCCCCAAAAAAAATGTTCAGGAGCCAGGTGTGGTGACACATGCCTTTAATCTCAGTAGAGGCAAAGGCAAGTGATTTACATAGCAGGTTCCAGGCCAGCCAGGGCTATAGAGTAAGACCTTGTCTCAAAAGAAAGGTAAGTTCAGTTCAGGGGTCAAGGATGTAATGGCAAAGAGCTTGCCTAGCACAGATGAAGCCCTGAGTTCAAGTCCCAGCAGTGAAAAAAAAAAAAGTTTCTTTAATTTTAAAAATTCTTCAGGCTTCCTTGATTGTACTATCCTACTATATAACTTTATTTTGTTTTTTAATACCATTTTAAAAATGCACAGGGGTGCATTCCTGTAATCTCATCTATTCTAAATGCTAAGGCAAGAAGATCACTTGAGTTCAGAAGTTTGAGACCAGCCTAGGCAAGAGAGCAAGACACTGTCTCAAAAACAAACAAAAAATAATCACCTGGAAACCATTACTTTACAGTTTTCACAGGGCATGAGCAGTAAATGTCCCAATAACCTCCTAAACTAATTGAGCCATCTCTCAGGCACTGAATATATTGTCTTTCTCCTCTCCTTCCCTCCCTTCCTGTCCTTTTCCTCCCCTCCCCTCCTGCCCTTTCTCCTCCTCTCTCTCCCTTTCTTCTTTCTTTGACAGGGTCTCAAAATGTGTCCAGGCTAGTCTCAAACTTCAGCTCCTCCTCCCTAAGCCTTCCAAGTGCTGGAATTACAGGCCTGCACCATCATGCCAGGCTTAATTATTTCCTCATCTAGGCAGTTTTATAATTATTACTATTTCTCAAGAGTCTACTAATGAAAATGATAAAAACAACACACACAAAAAAGCTTTAGGATAATTACAAGTCCCCAGTGAATGTGTAAATGTTAAGCACAAAGCCTAAAAGTCCAATCAACAGCTAAGACCCACTACCCTTCAGATCCACAAGTCCTACCCTTCCGCTTGAGAGACATAAGAGACCGGAAGAATCCTGCTGCCGGGCCAGCCCCACCAGGCAACTTAAGTTCCACTTCTCCCATCAGCTGAGCCAACTCAGTTCCAGGTAAATCAATAAGCCTTGTGATATTGCTGACCACCAACTCAGTGAACATCTCAGGTTTCTCATGTCGGAGTTTCTCCACAAAAAAGTCAGGATTGAAGATAATAGGCTGACCTCGAAGGGAAGAATCATTGCAAATGACAAAACTGCAGATGGCATCACTGAAAAAAATGAAATAGAAGAATCTTTGGAAGGATCATGTTGTGTTTCTTACATTGTGTTCTATGGGCTCTCTGGTTCCTGAATCAACACACAGGCAGAGGTTTCCTAACAATCAGCTTCCTGTAACTGAAGCAGCTGGTCTTGAATTCTGTTCTTGGTCTTACCATGTAGACCAAGATGGCCTGGAACTGAGAGCTATCCACCCGCCTCTGCCTCCCAGGTGCTGGGACTAAAGGTGTGTTGTCACCCCACCCAGCTGGATTCTGTTCTTTATAGCCAAAAAGTTTTCACAGAACAAAACAGCTATATAAAAATATGTATTCATTCAGATTTAGAGCAGTTTGACCTATTTGTTTATTCTCTTATTTATTTAGTGGCCCCTTGTACAAGCTAGGCAAGTGCTCTCTGCCATTGTACTATAGCTCCAAGCCCAATTGTACTTTAAAATCTTTCAATTCTGGATGCCTGACTCAGGCATCAACTAAGTCTAGCTTTTGCTCAGAAAGGTTCTTCTCTCTAGGATCCCTGATCTTCATCTGACTATACTCCTAGCAAAGCTCCTTGGGCTACCAGAAATACTGTCTTCCCTGTTCCTTGTTTCTCAGTGCCTCACTACTAGATCCCTTTTTACTCCCAATATATGTTAGTTTTAAGAACTCTATTGTTGGGCCAGCAAGATGGCTCAGTGGATAAAAGTGCCATCAAGGCTGACAACCTGACTTTGATCCCCAGGTCCCACCCACATGGTAGAAAGAGATCTCTCTCTCTCTCTCTCTCTCTCTCTCTCTCTCTCTCTCTCGCTCACACACACACACACACACACACACACACACACACACACACAATGTAAACAAAACTTTAAAATAAGTTTTAGGTGCTGGAGCCATGACTCAGCAGTTAAGAGCGCTTGCTCTTCTTGAGGACCAGGGTTCAGTTCCCAACATTCACATGAGGCAGCTTACCATCCACCTACGACTCCAGTTCCAGGGCGATATGATACCCCGTCTGGCCTCTGCAGACACTGCATGCACATGGTACACATACATACATTCATGCACTCACATATACACAATAAAAATAAACCGTTTTACAAATAAACAGAGCTTGATGTGATGGCACACACCTTCTTTTATTTATTTATTTATTTTAATTTTTTTTGAGACAGGGTAGGTCCCTGTGGCCCCAGCTGGCCTGGAACTCACTATATAGACCAGGCTGGCCTGGAACTCACAGAGATCTGCCTGCCTCTGCCTCTTGAGTGCTGGGATTACAGGCATGCACTACCACAACCAGCCTGGCATACACCTTTAATCTCAGCATTCAGAAGGCAACAGGGAGATGCTATCTCAAAATAAATAAATTTTTAAAAAGAACGCTATTGTTGGGCATGGTGGTACATGCCTATAATATCAGCTCTCAGGAAACTAAGCAGAAAGATTGGGAGTTCAAGACAAGCCTGGGCTACATAGTAAGACCTTGACTCAAAAAATAATAACTATTATTATTAAACTAAATTAAACTAAAAAAATTTTATTACTCCATCTTTTATAATAGACACATCATTGTTTGTACTCATCATCAGTTAACTCTAATGGCTTGTTCTCTTATCATAAACATGGTCATCTATTATATAACATATAAACAGATATAACAGAAATCAGAATCAAATCATATTTCAGTCAAGCAAAGCCAGACTGACCTGATTCATACAAACACCTCTACAATAAACACAATCGCAACTTTTTCTTTTTTTGGTCTTTTTGAGACAGGTTCTCCCTGTAGCCCTAGCTGACCTGAAACTCACTATGGAGACTAGGTTGGCCTTGATCTCATAGAGATCCACCAGCCTCTGTCTCCCAAGTACAGGTATAAAAGGCATGAGCCACCACACCGGCATTCACAATTACAGCTTAAAACTGTCCACAGCACCCAGAATATCAAAGTACTATTCCAAAAAAAGTAATGCCTCTAGATCTTAAATATAACCAACCAACAACACATTCTCCTAGCATGACTTTTTTTCCAGTGTTGGGACTTTTGAAATATTAGGCAAGCACTCTACCCAGCAATATTCTTAATCCTGGTTTGGTTTGGTTGGTTTTTTTTTTGGTGGGGGGGGGTTGTTTAGATTTTCTTTATTAGATTTCATTGTTGTTGCTTTGTTGAGACAGGGTCTCTCACTCACTCACTTACTGGCCTGAACTCTCTAAGTAGCCCTCCTGCCTCAGCCTCCCAAGTATTGGGCTTATAGGTATGAACCACATACCGGGCTGATAAATTTTTGTTTGTAGTACTGGGGATTAGCCCAGGACCTAGCACATGCTAGGCAACTGTTTTGCCACTAAGTTGCATCCCCAGCACAGCTGATAATTTGTAATCATATAATGAAAACAAGGCATGCATGAGTAAATTTCCAAGTCCATCTCTACTTCCTTGAAAAATTATTGCATGATTTTAACAGCCCAAATTTTCAGTTGAAGGCTATGAGATGCTAAAATGAAAACACATAGGAATTTAGGGCCAGCAGGATGGCTCAGCAAATAAACACACTTGCCATCAAGTTTTACCAACTGAGTTAGATCCCTGGGACCCAAATGATGGAAAAACAGAGCCAACTCTCAAAAACTATTCTTTGACCTCCACACAGGTATACACACACACACACACACACACACACATGCATGTGCCCACCCACATACATGCACATACAAACACACACATCTGTACAAAAAATATTTTTAAAAAAAGAAATCATTTAAGAATTTAAAACTGGGGCTAGAGAGATGACTCAGTGGTTAAGAGCACTCTTGCAGAGGACTGGGTTCAATTCTCAGCACCCACATGGTGGCTAACAACTCTAGTTCCAAGGGATCCGACACCCTCTTGTGACCTCCACAACATGGGTACACTTACACATATGACATATGCAAGCAATAAATATAAAAGAAATAAAATATTTTTTAAAGGATTTAAAACTATAAATGTATAAAAAAAAAAGCCAGGCATGGTGGCAGACGCCTTTGATCCCAGCACTTGGGAGGCAGAGGCAGGCGTTCAAAGCCAGCCTGGTCTACATAATGAGTTCCAGGCCAGCTGGGGCTACAGGGAGACTATCTCAAAGAGACCAAAAAAAATTTTAAAAAGCCAGGTGTGGTCGCATCATTTGTCTACATAGTGAGTTCCACGCTACATAGTGAGACCATGTCTCAAAATAAACAAACAACAACCTAACCCCTCCCCCCCACAAACTCTGAATGTGGGTTCTGAAGTCAAAAGTAACTAAACACAGAGAACTCAGAATGCTCGTCACCTCAATCATTTTACATACCAGGATATTTTGCCTATATAAACCTAAACATGTCAATGATTCTAAGTCAGTTATGATCAGAGGCAATTTCATTTTAACCCTTTGACAAGAGCCTCTTTTTTAGTTTCAGTTATTTCAGGTAAGAAACAAGCATCAATATGAAACTATTACTTATAATCATTGCCTAGCACCAATATGAAACTGTTAAAATCATTGCCAATGAGAAATGACCACTAAGAAGACACTAAGGAAATGTGTTAGCACAAGAAAAAAAATCATGCTATTATGTCTGAGTTAATCATTTCATGTTATTCACACCCCTTTTAAATATGCATAACTGGTTTCAGATCAAATTAGTTCTAAGATTAAAAAGATTCACTGGCATGTAAGTAACACAGTCTCATTTCTTTCCCGGCTGTGGCTGCCCCACCCAACTTCCTCCCATGATCTTCACTCTTACTATGCTACACTTTTTCTTAAGCTAATTATTTTCTAACCATTTCCTCTCTTTTTCTGAGTGGAGCTCCTGGAAGGGATCTTTGGATATAGAAATGATTTAAAAGAAAAAAATGAAAGATAAGAGTTAGAAGACAGTTGCCATCGGTTTTCTTTTAAAGTTGTCCGGGTATTACCAAGCCCACCAATCCCTTCCTAAAGAATATACACTTCCACAACACAAAACTAAGAATGTCAAGGAATATGTTTAACATAAGAGGTTTCTAGGACTAAAGAAAAAAGCATATTTAAGCAAAAACAACATCCTAGTCTACAAAATCTTAAAACTAAGTTCACTCAGTTCAAGGAAAAAGTAAATTTCTTACAGAAACGCTGAAAGCTTCTGAGGAGGCATCAGTGAATAGGAAATAGGAAAACAGCTTTCTCGTTGTGTGGCAAAGGACTTCACCCTTCCCTGCCCCAGCAACAGCCTACACAAATTCCAGGCATGTTAGAGGACACAAGGACATATTATGGGGCTTGAAAGGCAGTACTTATTAGGGGGCTCTGCACACTATTCTACAAGTAGGAACAAAACAGAAATTAAAAAAAAAAAAAACTAGTTAACCATATTTGCCAACCTATGAATGAAACTCAATAGCAGATACCCATCACTTTCTATACACTGAAGCTTATATAAAATGAAATACCACATAGGTAAGAGCATAAAAATGAGAAATTTTATAATATGTAGGGAAGGATGATCCCTACCTCATATCACACATTAAAAAAATAGTTTTCAGGCAGGGCATGGTGCACGCCTTTAATCCCAGCAGAGACAGGCAAATCTGTGTGAGTTCGAGGCCAGCCTGGTCTACATAGCAAGTTCCAGGTCAGCTGAGGCTACAGGGAGACCCTGTCTCAAAAAGACCAAAAAAAAAAAAAAAAAGTATGTGTATATTCCCACATGAGTTTATGTACACCACATATATGTGGGTGCCCATGGAGGCCAGAGAGTGTCAGATCCCCAGGAACTGGAGTTTACAGCTGATTGTGAGCCACCTACCTGATCTAGGTGCTGAGAACTGAATTCAGGTCCTCTGCAAAAACAGTAAACCATGGAGTCATCTCTCTAGCCCAACCATAGGTTATTTGAGGGTTGTTTTTGAGACAGGGTCTCACATGTAGCCCTGGCTAACCTGGAATTCAATATATGGATCAAGATGGCCTCAAACTCACAGAGATCTGCCTGCCTCT